CACCCCGCGTCAGTTACGATATTTAGATTCTGTATTTGGCGAATCACTAGTTGGGATCTTGAGGGTTTCCAGCCTCCAAGACACCAGAAGGAGGTTGTCCCTTGAAATGTGTGGAGTGCGTGTCACGGGAAGGGCGGTGGGCCAGGCAGCAGGAAATCAGGTCTAGGCTGGCGGTGATTTGGCTGTGTGATCTTGGTCTGGTCCTACACCCCTAGGAGAATTGTCTGTGGAAGGGGTGTTGGGCTGTGAGGGTTTGTGAGTGGTTATAGAGCCCTTCCTGTGTGAACTCAACTGTAACAGAAGTGTCCCTGCAGGCCCAAATGGAAATAGGACAGTTTGTTGCCTGGAAGGCTGGGGTGGTCATAGGAAGCTGGGGGAATGCTGCCTGCTGCAGAATTTGATGGCTGCTTCTCAGAACCCCAGGCACTTGGTGCATGCACTGGTATTTTAACAGGCTTGAAAACTTCCATGTGTAATTAGGCAGTTATAAGGATCCTGCTGCATGCACAGCACTGTGGGAGATACAGGTGTGAATACAATGACCCTGGGAGGTTTACCCTTCAATAGAAGTCTGATCCTTGCCTTCAAGTTGCTTATTACCTAATAGCAGAAACAACTTGCTCATTCATAAAATCATTAAAGGTTAACAGTAGATAATGATATACTATAGTCTGTGATGACACTTTATGAAAGAAAGATCAGGGATAATGAATGATACAGTTTTATGTTCCATGGTGCACATAGCAATTATCAGTCAATTTATAGACCTGTTCCCTTTTTTCTAAGTCCAAGGACTATAGGATTTGGTCTGGAAGTCAGTACACTGAGTTTTTGCAGACTGTAGGGTTCAAGGTAAATAATTACAGATACTTCATGAGGGACAGAAACTTACCTACTTTGGGTTTGATATCAGAACACGGAACTCAGGGCCTGGTGCCCATTGGTCATGTGCCATTACTTTTGCTGGGAACCAGTAAGGATTTCTGTTCCACCAAATTACCACCAAACCAAAGAAGCAAACATATTTAATGCTTTGAGCTTATAGAAAAATAAAAAGGAAATGATGAGAGTCGGTGCATCTCAGATGTCAGAGTGTGATAAGAAATGTGGATGTTAGAGATTGCAGAGTTGTGGAGGGAGAAGAGTAAAAGCCATCAGAGCTGAGACTTGGATGCTAAACAACTCCATCAGAAAAAAGCAATAAGAGATGTAATGTCTGAAGTAATGGAAAAGCGAAATGAGCCACTATTTGGTGAGTGCCTCCTAGGAATCCAGTTATTTACTTCTCAAAATAGTTTTTTAGGAGGACATTTATTTTGATCACGGGTAGAGAGGTAGAGGCCAGAATCAAACCTAGGATATAAGACATTGTTCTTTAAGCTGTAAACTGTAATGCTAGAAACTATAATGTGAGATGTTACAGTAACAAAAGCCTTCAGTGACCTTGAAAATACAAGGTAGTTACAAAATTCTGTGTTCTCCTGCCTTTAGCATGGTTTAGAACCCAATGTGCACACATGGCTTTTGAACACTTGAAATATGCCTATAGTCACATGTTGAGATGATAATATTTTGGATATATTGGTTAAATAAAAATATACTATTAAAATTAATTTCCCTTGTTTCTTTTTACTTTTTAATTTTAATTTTATTTTTTCAATTATAGTTTACATTCAATATTATTTTGTATTAGTTTCAAGTGTCTTTACTTTTATAAAAAATCTTTTTTTAAAAAATATTTATGTATTTATTTATTTATTTATTTATTTGTTTGTTTTTATTTTTTTATTGATTTCAGAGAGAGGAAGAGAGAGGGAGAGAGATAGAAACATCAATGATGAGAGAGTCATTGATCGGCTGCTTCCTGCACGCCCCCTACTGGGGATTGAACCCTGATCTCCTGGTTCATGGGTTGACACCATTGAGCCACACTGGCTGGGCCTCTTTCTACTTTTTTAAATGCAGCTTGTATTTCTGTTAAACAGTGCCAGTTTTAACTAATGACAAGACTGTTCATGGATTGGCATCATCTTGTTAGAGAACTCCAGGTCATACCTTATTCACCCAGACAATAGGTCCTTCCTGACTCCAGAGTCCTGCATAGGATGCCCCAAGCCTTAAAGGACTTCCTGACCCCCTGGCTACTGCTCAGGCTTCTTCTCACCACCCTCTAACCCCATTCCCCTCTTCAGTCAAAATGTACCTCAGAGCCTGATTCTTGCCCGGATAACTCAAGACAATTGATTCCTGATGACCTTGGTGCTTGGTTCCTGTTCTTAGCCCGTATGTATGTCTTCTGGGAACTTGACTTCCTATGTGTATCCTGTCCAAGGTGCAGTCTTGACCCTGCTCTGTTTTGTTGTCACTGAATCTGCTTTTGCAAAATGCCTTATATATTAGGGAACAGTAATTTGTTAACTGGCTCCAGACTCTAAATAATTCTGATATGGATTAGCTACTTCCCGTGTTATAACCCCCCAGTATCATGTTCTGTCTCCAACTCATCTCAGCCCTGCCTTATCTTGTTCAGCTAAATCTAGGTAGCACCTTATGTGTACCCTGAACCCTTGATCTTTTCATCAAGCTGTCTCCAGATGTTGATTTTCTTCCTCCAGGAGACTCTTTTACCAAGACTCAACCCTATATTTTGGTAATTCTGACAATGATGTTCTAAGTGTAAATGATCAGGTTGACTCTGCCATATGAGTTAAGAGTTTTGTTACTGTGAATCAGCACCCCAGATTCTCATGATTCACATAAGGTTGATTTGATAAAACTGGCTGGAAATACAAAGCTCAAGACCATGGATTTAATGGTGGCCCTAGAAGGAGCGGAAATTGTTATCAAGCCTACTCAGAAACATTGTCTTTTCTTTCTGTCTTTCCTTCATATTGAGAACCTGACAGCGGTAGGCATTATGTTCAATGCTAGGAATACAGAATTGAAAAATATATAGTCCATGTGATTTTATTAAATGTATTAATATGTATTCAAAATGGTGCATGCATTTCCAACTTTTTAGTGGATGTTTGTAAAGTGAACATATTTACAGAAATTCAAGTTACCCAAAATGTCAGGAGCACAGCCCTTGCATTAAACTTCTGGGCACAATAGAAATAGAAATAAAGTTCTACCACCAGTTTTGCTTTCCTGTTTTACTTTTCCTTCCTTTCCTCCTCTCTCCCTCCCTTTCTTCTTTTCTTCTTTTCTTCTTTCTCACAACTCATTTTATATACATCCTATATACAGTTGACCCTTGAACAACATGGATTTGAACTGTAGGTCCACTCATACATGGATTTTTTTTCAATAAATACCTGTACTATTTTTGATTCATATTGGGAGTCCAGAGATGCAAAGAGCTGACTGTATGCATTGATCTACCTTATTTTATATATATGTATATTTTTAAATATATCTTTATTGATTTCAGAGAGAGGGAAGGAGAGGGAGAGAGAGAGCTAGAAACATCAATGATGAGAGAGTCATTGATTGGCTGCAGCCCGCAACCCGGGCATGTACCCTGACTGGGAATCGAACCCTGATCGCTTGGATCCTAGGTCAACGCTTAACTGCTGAGCCACGCCCGGCCGGGCTATTTTTTACATTTTTTATAGGGGACTAGCATTTAAAGATTTTGGTACGGGAGGGGTGGGTCCTGGAACCAATTCTCTGTGGATACCCAGGAACAATTTAAGTTTTGGGGGAGTCAAAAGTTATATGTGGATTTTTGACTGGGGGTGGGTGCCCCTAACTTGTTTTATTGAAGGGCCCACTGTACTTAGATAGTAGCCAGTACTCTCTTTTAATAAAATTTTAAAAATTGATTTTTGAGAGAGAGGAAGGGAGAGAGGGAGGGAGGGAAAGAGAATTGTTTCATTTATTTTTGCATTCTTTGGTTGCTATAGCTCCTGACTGGAGATCAAACCTGCAACCTCAGCATATTGGGATGTTGCTCTAACCATGAGGTACCTGGCCAGGGCTAGATAGTAGTCTCTTTTAATTGAAAGTATTTTGATGGTGGTAACTATATTGTCTGCTCCTGAAAAACAGTGGGATACTGAGTAGCAAGATCAAGGTCAGGAGTTGGAAGACTTCTAATTCTTGTTCTATCCAGGTCTGCTGTAACTATTTGAAGCACCTTGGGCAAATCACTTAATATCTCTGATGTGACTAGATAATCTCTAGAGTCCCATTCAAGTATTTTACTTTATAATTCCATGAACTTTTACTTAAACAGCACTTGAGAAATATTTGAGACTAATTTGATGACATCTTAGGTATAGGTTTAAAGAATCAAACAAATTACACCTTAGCCACTTAAACTTATATAGTACCAAGTTTTATTTAGTATGAGTATTGTTGGAGGTCATGATAACTGAAAATATGCTATTGATTTTGGATCTATCAAAAGTGATAGTTGTTATTTGTTTTCAGAGACCCAAGCCTCCCAAAGGCCAAAGGGCTGAGCAAAAACTGGAAAGAATCTTACGTGAACATCAGAAACATCATGCTATTTTGGATTCCATTAAGTCAGTAGAGAGGGATCGCTTGAAAGCTGACTGGTACCAGCATAATGACCGCAAATTTGTGGATAGCCTTGTGAAAGCAAGAACCAAGGATGCCATGCAAGGGTTTATCACCAACACTGAAGAAAGACGAAATAAGTAAGGCTCACAAACCTGATGACCCAGACTGTGAAATAGCCCTAAAACGACAACCTGAGACTGACCAGTCAAAAAAATCAAGTGGATTTTATACTAAAAATCATGGTCAAGATATTCATATTCTTGCCAAATCAGTAACTATTGCTTATTTATATTTTTACTTGTAATTACCTACATTATCATGATTGCAAAAAAATAATTGTTTTATATTTTACTTTAATTAAAATCTCATTTTTTCTTTTTTAAAAAAATGTCTTTATTGATTTCAGAGAGAAAGGGAGAAGGAAAGAGAGAGATAGAAACATCAATATCAATGAGAGTCATTGATCAGCTGCCTCCTTCAGCTGTGCCCTACTGGGTATTGAGACCGCAACCCAGGCATATGCTCTGACTGGGAATCGAACCGAAATCTCCTGGATCATAGGTTGATGTTTGACCACTGAGCAACAGCGGTTGGGCTGCTCATTTGTTCTTTTGTGGAAGATATGCATTGCATATCTCATCTGTATGTGATCAAATAAAATATGGCACAGATCAGTCTCTTTATTGCTTTAAATGACAACTAGTTTTATTTTATGGAAGACTGCAATGATCTTTTCCTTTTTACCGTATTTATGGTTAAATATTTACTTCTGAAATAAAATTAAACAGAAATCAGTTAGTAAAATGGTGTGTGGGTTATCACAGTTTTAATTATTATTATTATTATTATTATTTGTCATTTTGTTTCAGGCTCCGTGAACTTTTAGCATCAGAAGAAAATGAGTATTTTACTGAAATGCAATTGAAAGAAGAAACAGTTGAGGAAAAAAAAGATAGAATGAAAGATAAAACCAGATTATTAAAGGAGAAGAAAGAAAAAGAGAGACAGGATTTTGTGGCTGAAAAGCTAGACCAGCAATTCAGGTAATGATGTCAGAAAAACACACATGCAGAATCTGTGTATTAGAAAAGATTTAGGAAGGCTAATTTCCAGTAAAGTGTAGCCTTAGGGGAGTGTATAGACAGCAGTTTTGGTAATTGTATACACATCGTTGTATTATGCAGGCACTGACGGCTTTTTGTTTTGTTTTGTGTTAACATGGTTTATTCTCAACCAGTTTCAAGTATACAATACAGTATTACTACCTATAGTCACCATATGGTGCAGTAGATCCCAGAACTTACTCATTCATCTTATAACTGAAAGTTTGTGTTCTTTATCTCTCTCCATTTCCCTTACCCCCATCCCTGGGAACCAGCATTCTAATCTCTGTTTCTATATGATCAACTTAAAAAAAATTTTTTTTTAGATTCCACAGCTAAGTGAGGTCATACAGTATTTGTTTTTCTCTGTCTGGTTTATTTCACTTAATATAATGTCTTCCAGGTTTATTCATGTTGTCTCAAATGGCAGGATTTCTTTCTTTTTTATGCTGATTAATAATCCATCATATAGCCCTTGCCAAGTAGCTCAGTTGTTTAGAGCATTGTCCCAATATGCTAAGGTTGCAGATCCAATCTCCAGTCACAACACAATACAAGAAGCAACCAATGAATGCATCAATAAGTGGAACAACAAATCGATGTTTCTCTCTCTTTCTCTCTCTCCCTTTTTCCCTCTCCCTCCCTGTCTTTCTAAAAATCAATCAATAAATTTTTTTTAAAGATTCCATGATACATATATATCCATTCATACATCAGTGGACACTTAGGTTATTTCCATATCTTGGTCATTGTGAATTATATTGCAGTAAACATGGGAGTGGAGATACTAATTTTTTTCCTTTGGATATATACCCAGAAGTAGAATTGCTGGATCATATGGTATTTTTATTTTTATTTTTGATATGTTTTTATTAATTTTTAGAAAGAGGGGAGGGGAGAAGGAGAGAGACAAAAGAAACATTGATGTGAGAGAGAAACATCGATTGGCTGCCTCCTGCATGTCCCCTACTGGGGACAGTGCTCACAACCTGGGCATGTGCCCTGACTGGGAATCGAACCCTCAGCCCTTTGGTGCATGGGACTATGCTCAACCAACTGAGCCACACCAGCCAGGGCTTATTTTTAATTTTTTGAAAAGCCTCCATACTGTTTTTCATAATGGTTGTTCCAAATTACATTCCCACCAACAGTGTATAAGTTTCCTTTTTTCTATTGCCAACATTTGTGATCCCTTGTCATTTTGATAACAGTCATCCTAACCAGTGTGAGGTGATATCTCATTGTGGTTTTGATTGGCATTTTTTAGGTGATTAGTGATGTTGAATACCTTTTCATCACTTGTTGGCTCTTTGTATGTCTTCTTGGAAAAAAAATTTCTATTCAGGACCTTTGTTCAATTTTTAATTGGATTATTTTGGGTTTTTTGCTATTCAGTTGTATAAATTCCTTATATACACGGGTGGGTAGGTTTACAGTTGTGGATACACGACTTTATTGTATTATTTATTCTTATATATATTTTCATAAGAACTGTAACCCTACTTTTGCCCATCCCTGTATTTTACATATTAACCCCTTATCTAATAGATGGTTTTTAAATATTTTCTCCCATTCTGTAGGTTGCCTTTTCATTTTGTTGATGGCTTCTTATGCTGTCCAGAAGCTTTTAAGTTTGTAGTCCCACTCATTTTTACTTTTGTTGCTTGTGCCTTTGGTGTCATATCCGAAAAAATCATTGTCAAGATCAACGTCAAGGAGCTTTTCTCCTATATTTTCTTCTATGTGTTTCACAGTTTCAGGTCTTATGTTTAAGTCTTTAATCCACTTTGAGTTAATTTTTTTAAATTGATTTTTAGGGAGAGGGGGAGAGAGAGAAAAAATTGATGTGGCTGCCTCCTGCACACCCCCTATTGGTGACTGAGTGTGAAACCTGGGTATGTACCCTGACTGAGATCAAACCAGTAGCCCTTTGTACAGGATGATGCCCAACCAACTGAGCCATACCAACACGGGCATTTTGAGTTAGTTTTTGTAAATGGTATATATAGGAGTCCAATTTCATTTTTTTGCATGTGGATATCCAGTTTTCCCAAGATTATTTATTGAAGAAACTGTCCTTTTCCCATTGTGTGTTTTTGGCCTTCTTGTAGACCATAAATGTGTGGGTGTATTTCTGGGCTTTCTATTCTGTTCCATTTATCTGTATTTAGTTTAGTACCATACTGTTTTGATTACTATAGCTTTGTTATATAGGGTTTTTTTAATTAAATTTTTTAAATTAAATTTATTGTATTATTAATAGGATCATTATAGGTTTCAGGTGTAGATTTCTATGATACAAGATCTGTATATTGTTCTGTTTGCCTACCACCCAAAGCCAAATCTTCTGTCACCATAAGCCTCCAGCTTTCTTCTTTCTTAAGAGTGTTTTGATTATTTGGGGTCCTTTGAGGTTTCATCTGAATTTTAGGATTGTTTTTTTATTTCTTTGAAAAATGCCATTTTGATAAGGATTGCCTTGAATCTATAGATCACTTTGGGTAGTACAGACATTTTAACAATATTAAGTCTTTCAATCCAAGGATAAAGGCATATATTTCCATTTATTTGTATCTTCATTTTTTTCACCAGTGTCTTACAGTTTTCAGTGTACAGATCTTTAACCTTCAGTTAAATTTATTCCTAAGTATGTTATTATTTTGATGCTATTGCGAATGGGATTGTTTTATAAATTTATCTTTCAGATAGTTCGTTTTTAGTGTATAGAAATGCAGCTGATTTTTGTATGTTGATTTCATATCCTGCAACTTAACTGAATCATTAATTACTTCTAACAGTTTTTGTTGTTGGAGTCTTTAGGATTTTCTATATATAAGATCATATCATCTGCAAACAGAAAATTTCTCTTCTTGCTTTCCATTTTGGATGCCTTTTATTTATTTTCCTTGCCTAATTGCTCTAGACAGAACTTCCAGTACTACGTTGAAAATGTGGCAAGCATGGACATTCTTTGTTCCTGATTTTAGAGGAAAAGCCTTCAACTTTACACTGTTGAACATAATGTTCACTGTGGACCTGCCATATATGGCCTTGTTGTATTGAGCTACATTCCTTCTATGCCTAATTTGTTGAAAGTTTTATTTATCATGAATGTGTCAAATGCCTTTTCTACATCTGTTTAGATGATCATATAATTTTATCCTTCAGTCTGTTAATGTGGTGATTCACATTTATTGATTTGCATATGTTGAATCATTCTTGAATCCCAGGGGTGAATCCCACTTGATCATGGTGTATGAGCCTTTTAATGTGCTATCAGTTTGCTAATAGTTTATTGAGAATTTTTGCATCTGTGTTTATCAGAGATACTGGCCTGTGGTTTTCTTTTTTTGTAGCGTCCATGTCTGGCTTTGGTGCCAGGGTAATGCTGGCCTTGTAAAATGAGTTAGGAAGTGTTCTCTCTTATTCAGTTTTTTTGGAAGTGTTTGAGAAGGATTGGTATTATTATTGATTGGCTTAACCAAAAATGAATGTCACTTAGGCTATTAGGCCACCAAGTATGAGTGGGACAGGTTGTATATTGTGTTACTCTAGATAGGAACAGATTGGTACAAGATAAAATAAAATGTAAACTCTGAGTTTAAAGTATGGTAGACTACAGAAGGAATACAAGAGTTCAATTTTCGCAATGCAAGAAATTTGAATTGGTGAGAAATCCAAAGGTCAACAGATGTGAGAAAGGAGCAAAACCAAGCATGTGGAGGGATCAAGACATGGTTCAGAGACAAAGCTTTTGCCATGTCCTCTCTCTCTGCTATGAAGTTGCTATTAATCATACAGTCTGCCTTACATCTTCCTAGTAGAGGCCCAAAGGAGAAGTAAGCTATTGCAGTGAATAGTGCATACAAATTGCAGATATACCTGCTAACAAAGTAAATTAAACTGCTAAAACTCAAGAGAATGGGAAGTTTCAGGGCTTGGGATGCTGCTAAAGAAGGGTAGTGAAGAAAACCAGAGCAGTAAAGCATGTGACCAGAAGGGACTTGCCATTCCTCTTCTTGAAGGTGGGTAACTTGAGTTCCACAGATAATTTTACTAGGTTTTCAAGCTTGTAGTAACCAAGACAGGATTAGACTTGGATTTTCTGGCCTTTCTGAAGTTTAGCCTTACCACCTGTCCTCGGTAGGACTTGGACACTCCCTATTGGCTGCTGGAGGAGATGCTGTGAGGGACAAAGGGGACACTAGCAAATGAATTTCAATGAGCCATTCTATATTTCCCTAAAGGTTGGTGATGTTGAACAAATGTTCATGTGCTTATTTGGCATCTGTATATCATCCCCTTTGGTGAAATGTCTCTTCATATCTTTTGCCCATTTTCTAATTGGATTAGCTATTACGTTTTGAGAGTTCTTTATGTATTCTGGATGAGTCTTCTGTGTAGGATATGTGGTTTGGAAATACTTTTTCCTAGTCTGTAGCTTGTTTTTTCATTCTCTTAACAGGGTGTTTCATAGAGAAAAAAATTTTAATTTTGATGAAATCCAATTTATCAGTATTTCTTTTATGGAGCATGCTTTTGGTACATTGTGATTTTCTTTTTAAGTGCCCTATATTTATACACAATGAGTGATTGGACCCTAGATTAAGGTAGACAGTTTTGGCTTTGTTTTGTTCTGGGTTTGTTTTTGTTTTTTAAATATGTTTTTATTTATTTCAGAGAGAGGAAGGGAGAAAGAGATAGAAACATCAATGATGAGAGAGAGTCATTGATCAGCTCCCTCTACTGGAGATTGAGCCTGAAACCTGGGCCTGGGCCCTGACCAGGAATCGAACCGTGACCTCCTGATTCATAGGTTGATGATCAACCACTGAGCCACACTGGCCGGGCTTGTTTTGGGGTATTTTTGTTAAACAAATACCCTAGGGTGCATGGTCAGAACACTTGAGGGCAGTCTTGTCTCTGTCGATTACTGTCCAGGCATTGTTCTAAGCACTTTACATGTATGGACTCTTACAATGAGGTACCAAAGAACCTAAACTCCAGGGCCAGCCTGACAGGTTTTCACTCCCAGCTCTACCACATATGAAATGTATGAGCTTACCTATGATGCTTAACTGCTCTGTACGTACCCTTTCTTATCTGTAAATTGGAGATAATAATAATGAAAATGAACTTGCAATAATGTTCACTGCAACATTGGTTGTTATGAAGATTATGAGTCCATACATTCAAAGTGCTTAGAACAATGCCTGGCAAATAAAAAGGTTAGTAAGTGTTGCTAATAATATTACTACTACTGGCTCTGTGGCTTGGGGAGACACTTAGGCTCCCTGAGCTTCAATTGCTTTAACTCTAAAATGGGGATAATTCTTGCTGCTACATCTAAGTTATAAGATACTTGTCAGGATGAAGTAAGATTTTATGTGTGAAAGTACCATGTAAAGCACTCACAGACAGAAAGTTTTCCTTCTTATCAATGATTATTATCATTAAAATAGAGGCATTGACCACTTTTGCCATGAGAGTTTAGACTTCATTCTTTCTTTCAGTCTTAGCAATTAACATTTCATCCAAAGTTCTGTGTTGAGCCCATTTTCAAACTTCAGCTTCTTGGTGCTGAATTTGATTTAGAAACCAGGGCGATGATGTTTATAAACACTGCCTTCAGTCAGAGGTTCTCGCAACTTGGCTGTAGCCAGAACCTCCTGAGGTGCTCTGGAAAGCTGCAGAGGCCTGTGTCCTACCCGCAGATGTTCTGATGTAACTGGTCTGGTCCTGGAGTAGGGGAGGGAAGAAGGGAGGAATAGGATTTTTAAAATGTCCCTAACTAATTCTAAACTGTAGACATTGTTGAGTGTCACAGGCTCAGTGAAGAGCTTCTAAAGAAATTTGAATGACCAAGGCTGAAAGAAAGGGTGAGGCCTAAACACCTGTGGAGAGAGCATCTCCTCTTGAGCGGTAATATCAGTCCAGGTTGCAAAGGCAGCTCTGGCCAGACCCCTTCAGTGGACAGGTGCCCTGCCAGGAGTCCAGGGGCAACAGGGAAGCTTCACCGTGATATGCTGACTCTGCCCTTGGGTCTTTCCTTGGATGTGCATGTGGGGTCTCTCCCTACCAAAGCCTAATCCACTTGTAATACTGCAGGGACCCACCTCTCCTCTATGTCCTCCACAGCAATAATCATAGTTACCATTTATTGAGCCCCTATTATTTGCAAGGCATTCACATCCATTATCTCTGATCCTTACCAAAACTGTAAAAGACATTTATTTTACAGATAAAAAAAAACAGGCTCAGAGAGGTCAAGTTGTTTTTTTTTTTTTTAAATACCCTTTTTTTAAAAAAATATCTTTATTGATTTCAGAGAGAGGAAAGGAGAGAGAGAGAAACATCAATGATGAGAGAGTCATTGATCATCTGCCTAGCCCGCAACCCTGGCATGTGCCCTGACCGGGAATCAAACCCCGATCGCCTGGATCCCAGGTCGACACTCAACCACTGAGCTATGCCCGGTCAGGCAGAGAGGTCAGGTTTTTGAAGGTCACACAGGAAATGTCAAAACTAGGATTCAAGCCTGGTCTGTCTGACCCAGTGCCTATATTTTGTCTGTGACATCATGGTGCCTGCCTCCCTGCTGCTCCCTCACATGTTTTCTCTGCTCATATGGCCTACATCCAGATCTTTTACTTTTTCTACTTTAGGATCTGACTGTACAGATATGTGTCTAAATAGAGCAGTGTTTCATGAAAGACATGGTTTTGTCTTTTTAAAATTCTCCCTTCAGGGAATGCTGTGAGGAGCTCCGTATTGAATTGTTTTCTACCCATCAGAAAAAGGTGTGCGAGGAGCGTAAAGCACAGATTGCATTTAATGAGGAGCTGAAAAGGCAAAAGCTGGTAGAAGAGCAGATGTTCTCCAAGCTCTGGGAGGAAGACCGATTAGCCAAGGAAAAGCGAGAAGCAAAAGAGGCGAGCAGACAGAAAGAGCTCATGGAGAACACACGCCTGGGACTGAATGCCCAGATCACTGAAATCAAGGCGCAAAGGCAGGCAGCGCAGCAGCTGAAGGAAGAGGAGGCGCGCTTTTTGGTGGGCCTTTTAAAATGCTTGTCATGGGATGATCAACTCAGTGGGTATAGGACACAGTTTGCAGACCTGTTACTGTATAGTTTGCCTAATGACCTGGGCTGGTTCACAGGACAACACGGTCAGAGCCTTGGATTTCAAGTCCCAGCTAATAGTGCCATCGCATTGCATAGGGCAAGTTCACTACGGTGACTCAATTTCTTTATCTGAAAAATGAGGCAAAAGGCAGTGGTCTTTTTTGGGGGGATGAAATGGGATTATCTTTGGCAGTCCTGTGGAAGGCTAGTGACTATTTGGCAACATCCCCTGTTCTTTGATATGTAAATTGACAGTTTCTAAATCCTCTGAAGAAGTGCTATACAACAGCTACCATGGCCCTCTGGCCACCAACATCAATAATCTTGTTCCAGCAAGATTGCTGCCCCTACTGAAGCAATTTTCAACCAGTGTGCCACAAGAATTTTTAAAACATGCAACACCTGACTATTTAGTCCGGGGCTGACTTCTTTTCCCTTAGATTGTCAAATAAAACAATGACAACAGCCAACACAATAGCCTCCGTTGTGAATGAATCAAAATTATACCATCATTGTCTAACTTATTTGATATTTAAATCAGAATCCAAATATAGTTGTTATAAGTCTCTTTTAGAAACAATGTATTATTCACTTGAGATTGAAGGGGTGTGATAAATTCATTACATTGGCACAATAGGTGTAAGATTAGAACAATCCTAGCGAAACCAAAACATGGCAAACTACTTTTAGGTCTCTTAATCTTGAACAGTTTCCCCCCACCCCATCCCTTCCTATTTTATAGTCTGGATTTGGCTGATTACTCCCTTCTGATGTCGTCAAGCTTACTTTAAAAAAGTATGGCTTTCATCCTTGATACCCTTTGCTTTTCCTTAGATACTGCAGAGTATTTTCACTTATCAAATTTGACCCTTACAATTCAGCTGGATTTACTGCTCATGGCATTAGTGGAAAAGTCTAATATATATAACTCCCCTCTTACAAACCGGTAATCACGGCTGTTATGAATCTCAGTTAAGTCAAATTGGGATTTGTATCCCATCCTCACTATTGCTGTGTCATCTTCTGTCACAGCTGGGCAAGTGCTTGTTTCTCCAGGAGAGTTCAGCTGCCTCTGGCAGGAGGACTAATGCCTCAGTTATACCACACCCAAATTTTCTACCATACCGCAATGCCCAACTGCAGTGGTGCCCCAGTTAAAACAGCTTGATAGGCCAGGCAATCAAGCAAGCCTGATAGCTAAGAAAATGAGAAGAATGGGAGAATTTAAAGAACAAAATGCTTAAAATTTAGTTTTGTGCCCTAACTGGTTTGGCTCAGTGGTTAGAACTTCGGCCCTCTGACTAAAGGGTCCTGGGTTCGATTCTGGCCAAGGGCACGTACTTCTGTTGCGGGCTCGATCCCTGCCCTGGTCAGGATTTGCATGTGGGAGGCAACCAATCAATGTGTCTCCCTCACATCGAGGTTTCTCTCCCCCTCTCTCTCTTTCTCCCTTCCACTCTCTCTGAAAAGCTGTGGCAAAAATATCCTTGGGTGAGAATTAAAAAAAAAAATTTAGTTTTGTGTATTTAGCTGATGTGCACATTTCCATTTTTGGACTCCTATTGCTGTTTAATAATGTACCCAAATCTAGATGTGTAGATGTGCATAGAGGAGTAAAGTCTAGAAGGCCAGTACACTGAAATGTTGAGAGTGGTGCTGAGTGATGGGTACTAGGCTTAAAGATGATTGCTCTTTATATGTTTCTGCATTTTGAACTTGACAACTATTTATAAATACACGTAGAGCAATTTCACAAAACCTTACTGCTGACTCGGCAATAAAAAGGCGAGTTTTATTTCTTATAGTTCCTCTGAATCCAGGTGTATGTATGAAATGCATTAATTTGTTTTGTCCAACTGTACTGAGGCATTATCTTCATTATTCTTCTACCTTAGGAAGATGACAAAGCTCAGGTGAAACTTGAGAATGAGCGGGACAAGCTAAAGAAACAGAAGACAAAACAGGAAATGAGGACCACTTTGCAAAAAGCCCTCCAAGAGAAGATAGAACGCATTCAGCAGGAATACAGAGAAGAGCAGGACTTGAACATGAAGCTCGTGCAAAGGGCCCTGCAAGACTTAAAGGAAGAGGCTGATAAAAAGAAGCAAAGAAAAGTAAGACATGTATTCAGTGTCTAACATGCTAGATGAGATTCCATGTCGAGCTCTCAATCTTGCAGGAGTCAGCCACATGCAGAATGAATCATAACAGTGCTACTCTAAGTGTGGCAAAAGCATCAGCTGGGAGAATGTTAGAAATAAAAATTCACAGGCTCCAGAATCAGAATCTATAAATCCAGATCCTGGCAGGGGCAAGAAATCTGTGTTTTAACAAGTTCCCCCAGGTTATTCAGTTGGTCACTGAATTTTGAGAACTCCTACTCTATCACATGGTGTTAGCAGTGTGATAGCAGGATGGGATCTCAGGAAGAGGAGGGATTAAGTATGCCTGGAAGTTGTTGGGGAGGACATCACTGCTAAAGTTTTGAGTTGGACTTTGAAGAATATGTAAAGTTTTGTCAGGCAAGGGGAGTAGAGAAAAGCATTCCCAGTATTCACTTAGCTGTCTATTCCTTTGAAATCTGTATTGAACTCTTAAAGGTTTCATACTTTTCCTATAGTACTATTTTTTTGTAGACTATTTCTAAGAGCAGTTTAGGTTCACTACAAAATTGAGCAGAAGATACAGAAATTTTTCATAGCCTCCTTCCCCCACAAGTACAAAGCCTCCCCCATTATCGGCATCCCTCCCCGCCCCACAGGGTGGTACATTTGTTACAATTAACTAACCTACATTGATATCATTATCACCCAAAGTCCATAGTTTACATAAGTCCTCTCTTGGTGTTATACATTCTATGTGTTTGGACAAATGTATAATGACATGTATCCACCATGACAGTATCATACAGAGTAGTTTCACTGGGCTAAAACTATCTCCACAGTTTTGCCTTTTCCAGAATGTCATATAGTTGGAATCATAAAGAAGGTAGCCTTTTTATTGACTTTTTTCTTTTTTTTTTTTTTTTTTTTAGAGAGAGAGAGAAAAACATCAATTTGTTGTTCCACTTATTTATGCATTCATTGGTTGTTTCTTTATGTGCCCTGACCGGGGATCAAACCTGCAACCTTGGTGTATTGGGACAATGCTCTAACCAACTGAGCTACCTGACCATGGCCACATAGCCTTCTTAGATTGGCTTAGTTCACTAACTAATATGCATTTAAATTTCCTCCATATCTTTCACCTGTGTCAAAAATCAATTGACAGTAAATGTGAGGGTTTATTTCTGGACTTTCAGTTCTATGCCATTAATCTATATGTCCATCCTTATGCTATGTCACATGTTTATATGTCTTCTTCACTGTAGCTTTGTAGTAAGTTTGAAATCAGGAAATGTGAATCCTATAACTGTTCTTTTTCAAATTGTTTTGACTATTCTGGCTCCCTTCCATTTCCATATGAATTTAGGATCAGTTTATTGATTTCAGCAAAGAAGACAATGGGATTTTGATGGAGATTGTTTAGAATCTCTAGCCCAATTTGAGGACAGTTGCCATTTTAACAATATTGTCTACTGATCCATGAACATAGGATGTCTTTTCATTATTTTAGGTCTTCTTTAATTTATTTCAATAACATTTCTTAGTTTTAAGAGTATAAATTTTGCTCTTCTCTTGTTCAATTATTCCTAAGTAAGAATGAAACTATGTATACAAGCCCTTGTGATAGTGCAGCTACACCCTCACACTTTGCTAGTCCTACCTCAGATTATGATTTTCTCAAAAGAGATCAGATCAGAGATTGGATGGAACAGCACAAATATAAAACCATGAAATATGGAGAAGTAAACTGAAATGTCTTTGTTATAAAGCCCAGTACACAACCTTAGCTGTACATTAAAATCACCTAGAGAACTTAAAAACTATCCATTAGCCCAGCCAGTGTGGTTCAGTGGTTGAGTGTTGACTCATAAGCCAAGAGGTCACTGGATTGATTCCAGTCAGGGCACATGCTTGGGTTGTGGACTCTATCCCCAGTAGGGGAACCGCAGGAGGCAACTGATCCATGTTTCTCTCTTGTCAATATTTCTATTTGTCTATCCCTCACCCTTCCTCTCTCTCTAAAATCAGTAAAAACACATTTAAAAACAAAATAAAACTATCCATTAGATAGAAATCTCTGGAGGTGAGAAACAGTCCTTAGTACTTTTTAAAGCTCCCCAGGTGGGCATGGCTTGGCAGCATGAGTGCCCTCTCTCTTCTCCCTTCTCCCTTCTCTCTTCCTTCTCCCCCCTCACCTGTGCTTTTCTCATCCCCTTTCCCCTCCGGCACATTTTCCTGGTCTCTCTCTTTCTCATAAGCTCCAAAACTCCAAGGGCCCTTCTTTTGCCTCTGTAACATGCTTCCTGTGCCCATTTCTTCTATGGCTAGCTTCTATCTCTGTGATTTTTCTTAGCCAGAACTCAAGTAAAGAAGGGAAGAAAAAAAAGAAAAGAAAGAAAAGAAAAGAAAAGAAAAGAAAAGGGGAGGGGAGGGGAGGGGAGGGGAGGGAAGAAGAAAAGCTCCTTAGGCTATTTCAAAGGGTAGCTAAGATTGAGAATTGCTGTTATAAAGTATCAGATGACTGACGCATCTTCTAGGCAGAGACAATGCTTAATATTAGTGACTTATTTTATTTACCAGGCTAAGATTTCATCTACCTAAATTAAAATAAGTGAAAATAAAGCTGTATAACAAATTATTTGGAAACTGCTTTAAAAAACACTTTTTGGTATAGTGTTGAATTAACTTATTCAACAATGTATTTTAAAACATTTCAAAGAGGTACAAAGAATAGCACAGAGAACCCCATGTGTCCCTTACCTAGCTTCAACAACCATCAGCTAGTGGCCATTCCTGTTTCATCTATGCCCCTACCCAATTCCCCCACACCCCTAAACATTTTGAAGTAAACCTTCAATATAACATTTCATCTATAAAATTTCAGTAGTAGTTCTAAAACATTGAAACTGTAGCTCTAAAAGATTGTTTTTAAATATCCTCAGTATCATCACACCTAATGTTTTAACAACATGCGGTAATTTTTATATTGTGTAGGAAGATATGGTAAGAGAACAGAAGACGTATTATCAGTATTTGGCACAGCGGCGTGAGGAGGAAAATGCTCAGGAGAAAGAACTGGACCGGCTATTAGAGGAAGAGAAGGCAAAGAAGATGGTGGAGAAGGAGAAGCAGCTGAGGCTTGAGAAGGAGGCAAGGAAACGCCTCGTGGACGAGGTCATGTGTACAAGAAAGCTTCAAGTTCAAGAAAAGCGTAAGGAAATGAATTATAACTATATTTCAGTTGGGCCTTAATTCAGTGTAAGTAACAACCAGAATATTTAGCAAGTAGGTGTTATGTGTAAACTACGATGAGGAATATAGAAAGGATTAAGGCGAGATCCCTGCTTTGCAGACCTTAACTAATTGTGACCACATACAATATGAAGAGATGAAGAGCTTCATGTCCCACAGACTCTGAGCAGTCATAGGGGAGATATTCTCAAGGCTAAAGGAACAGCATGTCCTTTGAATGGCCTGTGTGCCTTAGTGATTATCAAGGAGAGTGAGAAGGCAGGGCAAAGACATGCACCCCCCCCTTTACCTGTCCCTCTCTCTCCTTCAGGCACGTTGGTGCCTCCCTACCTGCAAACCTTCGCTTGGGTAGTTTTCTCTGCCTATGATGCTTTTGATCTTGAGAAATTCTGGACATCCTTCAAGACAGCTCAAATGTCTCACTCCTCGAGAGGCCCCCTGTGTCACCTTACCTACAGTAAACCCTCTTTCCGGGGCTCTCACTGCATCTCGCTCATGTCTTAGCCCACCATTGTGTTCCCTGAGCTTCAAACAGTGCTTGGTTACAAAAGAAAGTATTTGTAGAGGGGTAGAACTGACACCTTCAGATTCACACCATTCCATGTCCAGCCCAGTGGACCGGAGAGGCAGTAGGTGGACAGACTCACTGTTAGGGTGCTGTTGGGCTTCACACTAGTTGTCTTTGCAAGAGAAAGCTCATCTTGGTTCCATCGATTAATTCTCTACTCCACATATTACAACAGCAGTTGAAAATTGTTGAGTTAGTATTAGATGGAGTTTTAGGAAAATGAGAAGAAAGCTTATAAACTAAAAATATTTCTGTATTCACCAATGATAAATGTTTCAGAATATATTGACAAAACATACAAAGTTTAAGTATTTGGGACCACTTATAGACAAGGGCGCAAAATCAGCCATAATTCCACCAACTCAGGAATAGCTACTAATCACAACTTCATGTCTTTCCCTCCAATATTTTTACTATGTATATAATTAACCCTCACAAGTAAGGGTCATGTTGTATGTATTGTATTATAGCCTGGATTTTCCACTTATTATAAACATTTTCCAGGTTATTTTTTCTTCAATTATAAGATTTGTAATGCTGCCTAGAAATCCATTATTAACATGAACCATAATTTATTTGACCTTCAGATTGTTTTGAATCTTTTTACCACTACTTTAGCATTGCAGGTTACCATGATTAAGTGACAGATGATTGTATTACATTTGTCCTAAAAGCTCTGTAAATAGTTTTTTTTGGCTTATATATGATTGTTTAAGATAATTTCCTATAAGTGGATCTGGGAAGATATGTACATTTCAGGTATATATTGCCTGGTTGTATTTATTCTTATGTGAACTCTGTTTGTTTTCTTTGTCATTTTTTTTCTACAGGGATGCTTCAATTTATCTTATTTAATTTATAAAAGCTTTTAATTTATACTAAGACTTTTTTCAATATTTATTTTGTAATAAATAAAATCTCTCATTAACATAAAGGGTAATAGAACTATTTGTCCTCAAGAAGAGAACAGTGAGAACTGTTCTATGGTAATCTGGTTTGAAAAAGGCTGATCGTAGACTCTCAAAAAAAAATTTTAAGAGAAAACCTGTGTAGATCACAGCACTTATGAACCTAAACTCTGTTCTTTCCTTAGCAGAGATGACTACTTCTACCTTATTGATCTAAGATCTAGCCTAGTGATTCTGAGCTCTGCCTTTCTAAAAATAATATGGCATTGATTCCCAGAAAGATGTTAGCAAGTCTTGTCTGAGAAAAGTCAGCAAAAATTACTTTCATCTTTCATAGTGCAACGAAAAGCGAAAGAACAGGAAGAGCGGGCTCTGGAACAGGAACACATACACGAAGGCCTCAATGAGCTTAACCGTCAGGAGAAGGAGAATTTTGCAAGGTATGATTTTGTTTTCTTTATTATTATTTACTACCTAAACAAAACAGCAACAAAAAAAGGGGATTTGGAACATAGAGGACCATGTGCCGTAATTCTTGCATTACTGACATTATTTGACATCCATACAGTCATGTGCTATGTAGTGTTTCTGCCAACAACAGACTGCGTATGTGATGGTAGTCCCATGAGACTATAACAGCTGGAAGACTCCTATCACCTAGTGTTGTCAGAGCTCTCTTAATGGAGTAGCATAGCTCACTCAAATATTTGTGTGATGCAGGTGTAAATGGACCTACTGAGCTGCCAATGGGAGAAACGTACTGTATTTCGTGTTTTTACTGTAACTTTTCTCTTTAGATATGTTTGGATACACAAACTCCAGGCTTATAGCCTAGGTGTATAATAGACTACACCACCACCTAGGTTTGTATAAATGCACTCTGTGATGTTCGCACAACAACTTCCAGGCATACTTAATCCCATATTAAAAATGGGGCTTATAGATTGTAAAACGGTGCAACCGCTATGGATAACAGTATGAAATTTCCTCAAAAAATTAATAATAGAACTGTCATATTATTGACATAAGAAGTGTCCAAATCTGTAGAGAATTTAAGAGTTTATTTGAGCCCAAACTGAGACAGTTGCCGGAAGCAATATCTCAAATGCTCCAGAGAATGATAGTTTCACAGTTTCTTTCATGCATTTGGAATAAAGGAGAGAAGATAAGGAAGGTTACCTGAGGGTGAGAGACAGCAAGGATTACAGGATATTTAACAAGATTATGAGGGTGGTTACACTTATTTTCAAAAGTGTGTTTGACCTGTGTGCCTAGGCCTTGACTACCCACCATGACCTGCTCATTGAGGAATTTATGATCAGATCACTCCGTGTGGTTACTTTCCATAGAACTCCTTTTTTGTCTACATATGACCCAGCAATCTCACTTCTGGGTATATGTCCAAAACAATAAAAGCAAGGCCTTGAAGCGATATTTGCACGGCCATGTTCATAGCAGCACCATTCACAATAGCCAAGAGGTGGATACAATCCAAATGTCTGTTAGCAGATGAATAGATGAACAAAATGTGACATATGTATACAATGGAATATTATTATGCCTTAAAAAGGAAGGACATTCTGACACATGCTACTATAACATGGATGAACCTTGAGGACATTATGCTAAGTGAAATAAGCCAGTGACTAAAATATAAGCATGGTGTGATTCTACTTATATGAGATACCTAGAATAGTTAAATTCATAGAGACAGCAAATAGGATGGTGGTCACCAGGGGCTGGGGGGGAGGGAAAAAGGTGAGTTTTCGTTGTTTGATGGGTATAGAGTTTCAGATCTGTGAGATGAAAAAGTCCTGGAGATCTATTTCACAACAATGTGAATATACTTAACACTACTAAACTGTACACTGAAAAATGGTTAAGATGGTAAATTTTACGTTATGTGTTTTTTACCACAATAAAAAAATCACAGTATAAATTTAAAAAATTTTAAATCTCACCTGAGGATATGTTCTCACTGATTTTTAGAGAGAGAGAAAGGGAGGGAGAAACATCGATCAGTTGCCTCTTGTATGCACCCCGACCGGGGACCAGGCACCGAACCTGCAACTTGGGCATGCGCCCTGACCGGGAATTGAACCCGAGACCTTTTGGTATATGGGACAATGCTCCTACCAACTTAGCCACATTGGCCAGGGCTCACAGTATAAATTTTAAAATGTGGCTTATATATTTAAAATGTTGCTTGTCTATGGAAGAAATTGTCTAGTTAATACTGAACAGAATGAAGCAAACTTACCCACCTAGTCACCAGCAATATGATACCACTTCAGGCTTTCCCTGTAGGGACTTGGCCCTTTGATAGACAGCAGAGTGGGAAACTGGCAGACCAGCCTGTTTCCAGTTTTACCAGGCCTTGGAGAGGAGTGAGAGAGAATGGAAAGAGGCCAAGACTCTCTCCACTTGGCAGTAAATATTTTGATATTTTTCCTCCCTAAAATCAATATTTGTTCTAAAATTATCTTAATTATTATGTATTGAACACATTATTGAATTTGACATGTTTCTTCCCCACTCACCCCAATTTTAATGCAAATTTTAATTTGACTTCATCAATTACATTTTAATTGTAATGCCCTAAATAAATCCAAACGCTTACTTTTATAATTTTATACTTTGACATTTCTAATACTGTAGACGCTCCGGTTTAGCCCAGGAACACCAGAAGCAACTTCAGATGCAAATATCCTACCAACAGCGGGCCCGGGAAGCACAGAAGGAAGAGGAACGCCAAGAGCTGGAAGCAGGGATAGCAGCAAACAAGATTCACCAGGACAAGATCCAGGAGCTCCTGTCCGCCCATCGAGTGCAGCTGCAAAATGTCCATCCCATGCGGAGGGCATGCCCTATTAAACTTCCACCATAGTTCCATAAACATCAGTTTCTTTTTCAGTCTTTTAATATTTTTAACTACAATATGCTTATATGTTCCTTTGAATTCACAGATAAACTTCCTTTTTCTCTGAGTTTGCATAATGATACATAATTGTGTTCCTTTTTTAAATTTCACAGACTTACAAATCTGAATGATCTACTTCATATCAGTTATTTTCCTCACCTTGCTGACTTTATCCCATCTACTGCCTAAAATGCTAACCCTGTTTTGTGGGGGATTTAGGCCTGGGAATCTTGGGCATGCTGTAAAATATGTACATTTACTGGTTTTAAAAAAAGGTAGAAGTGAACATGCTCATATTCCTAACATTCAACATTTTAATTATTTCCACTTCTTTGAGTTTCCTTCCAGGGAACTCTCTCAGGGATGTTCATATGAAAACTCATTTTTGCATTGTAAACACTGCCATATTGCTTCACATATATTTCCAAAGTATAATAGCTACATAGCACTCTACTGAAGTGTAGTGTACTATAATTTATTAAACATTGGCCTTTGTTTCAAATTTGTTACTACTATAAATTACACTGTAACAACACTATTCATTTGAATTATTTCCTTAGGATCAATTAATTCCCTCGAGTGGGATTTCTGAGTCAAAAGGGATGAACATTTTTATACTTTGCTTTCAAGTGCCAATTTGCAAAAGCAGTTTTTAGAGATGTAGACTTTTTAGAGAAATGTTTTTGGGGTCAATTGGTATTCTCCCTGCAGATTTAAAATTTATTTAAGCAAATTGTCTGCTAGGCTCTCTGAGAGTTTTGGGTTTTAGTTTTTATTCTAATAATATGGTGTATTACATTAATTTATTTGCAGGTTCTAAACTAACTTTGCATATGTAGGATAAATGCCATTTGGTCATGCTTTATATTTTTTTTATATGTTGCTGTATTTCATATATATATGTGTGTGTGTGTGTATATATATGTGTGTATATATAATATATAATATATATACACACATATATATATCTCCACTATGTTGATCTTGGTCTATTATATATCTTGGAACTAGGCCTATTGTGATGACTTTGTCTGGGTTTGATATCGGTATACTATTGGCCATATAAAGGTATTTCCTCCCCTTTTATTTTATAAGAGAGTTTGGGAAGGATTGATATTATTTCTTGCTTAAATGTTTGATAGAACTGATCAGGTATGCTACCTAGACTTTCTTTGTAGGAAGATTATTTTTTATTCCTAATTTAATATTTTTACCAATATAGGTCTATTCTGTTATAGTTCTTGAGTCAATTTTGGCAATTTGTGTTTTTCTAGAAATTTGTTCACTTCATCTAAGTTATCTAATTTAAACACATAAAGTAGTTCATAAAATTTTCTTATAATTATTTTAACTTCTAAGAGGTATAGCGTAATGTACCTCTTTCATTCTTTTTGTAAACTTGGGTTATTTTGGTGACTAGAAAATAACTGAAAAGTATGCCTGTCCAACCAATGTCCTTCCCTACCCCCAATTTAGTATAACTATACCAAAGAATGTGGTACTTGGAAGATTAAAGCAATTTTTAAAAAAGTAACAATAACAGTATTGTCAAATTATGCTGTTCATCTTTTTAAAAAATTTTTAAGTTTGTATTTATTCATTTTTTAAAAAAATATATCTTTATTGATTTTAGAGAGAGGAAAGGAAAGAGAGAGAGAGAGAAACATCAATGATGAGAGAATCATTGATCGGCTGCCTCCTGCATGCCCCCAACTGGGGATCGAGCCTGCAACCCGGGCATGTGCCCTGACCGGGAATCGAACCCCGATTGCCTGGATCCTAGGTCAATGCTCAACCACTGAGCCACACCTGGCCAGGCTGTATTTATTGATTTTAGAGAGAGGAAGAAAGGAAGATTCTCTAACCAACTGAGCTACCCAACTTGGGCCTTTTTCTTTCTTTCTTTTTTTTTAAAAAATATGTTTTTATTGATTTCACAGAGAGGAATGGAGAGGGGGAGAGAGAGAGAGAAAAACATCAATGATGAGAGAGAAACATTGATTGGCTGCTTCCTGCATGCCTCCCACTGGAGATTGAGCCTGAAACCCAGGCATGTGCCCTGACCGGGAATCGAATCGTGATCTCTAGGTTCGTGGATCGATGCTCAGTCACTGAGCCACACTGCTTGGGCCCAGGCCTTTTTCTTATTTTTGTACAAAGGAAAGTAGCCTTTCATCATATGATGCAAACATTTTTCCTTATTTTTCTGCCCTACTGATGGCAGAGCAGAAAGCTGTAAAGGGCTGGACTCCTCACATTTTATTTTCTGATAGGGCTGATTTTACTTCTTTGTTCTTTATAAAAAATTTTTCGTAGGTATCATATCATTTTTTTCCAGATCAATATTAGTATCATTTGGTATTAGTATCACTAGTATTTTTATTCATATTGCACTAGTTTTATTGATTAGTTCAGGGATGCGGTCATATTTATAATCTTTATTTTTCCTATCTATAAATCACAGTGTGGCACTATTCGTTGCCTACCAATTCTCCATTTCCTCTCCTCTCTCAAATTAACAAGACTTAGTCTTTGTTTTGCTTAATATGTGTGTGCATGCATACATGTGCGTATGAATGTGTGTGAGTTTCGCTGGGCATGCTGCTATGCAAATAAAGACTACTTTTCTGTTTTCCATTGACTGTTCCTTCCCAATACCTTGGAATTAACTTAAGCCCCTAAACTTTGGCACAACTTTAGGAGAAGGGGAACGAATCCCAAATTGACTGGGTTTTGTTCATGCTGGTGCTAGAAATAGAAAATAAATTAAACTCTAGAAAAATCCAGTTCTATTTCTTGTATGTGAGTCTTCCTGGGATGGTGGTGGACTGAGATTCCCACTTACATGCTTGCTTAGTGTTGGCAGTTCTTAAAAATTTTATTTTTCAATTATAGTTTACATTCAATATTACTTTGTATTAGTTTCAGGTGTACAGCATAGTGGTTAGACAATTATATGCTTTACAAAGTGTTCCACCCCCTGGTATTTCCAGTACCCACCTGGCACCGTACATAGTTATTACAATATTATTGACTATATTCCTTATGCTGTACTTTACATCTCTGGGACTGGTTTTGATTACCAATTTGTAGTTCTTAATCCCTTCACCTTTTCCACTCATTCCCCCAATCCGGCTCCTCTCTGGCCAACAATCAGTCTGTTCTCTGTATCTATGAGTCTGTCTCAATTTTGTTTGTTCATTTATTTTGTTGTTTAGATTCCACATATAAGTGAAATCATATGGTATTTTCTCTGAGTTATTTCAGTAATACCCTCTAGGTCCACTCATACTGTTGCAAATGGTGAGATTTCATTCTTTCTTATGGTTGAGTATATTCCATTGTATATATGTCCACAACTTTTTTTTAAAGATTTAATGATATTTTTTAATATGTTTTTATTGATTTTAGAGAGAGGAAGGGAGAGGGATAGAGAAAAACATTGATGAGAAAGGAGCATTGATTGGCTGCCTCCTGCACCCCCCCCCCCCACTGGGAATCAAGCCCACAACCTGGGCATGTGCCCTGACTGGGAATCAAAATGGTGACCTCTTGATTCTGGGTTGATGCTCAACCACTGAGCAACACCAGCCAGGCTGTCTATAACTTTTTTATCCACTTGTCTATTGATGGGCATTTGAGTTGCTTCCATATCTTGGCTATTATAAGTAATGCTGCAATGAAGACTACATTTCTTATGCTCCCTTGCAGACAGTGTTTGTCCAGGTGCCTAAATTCTGGCCGAAGAGATGTAAGTAAAAATGTTTTCTGGGTCTTCCAGGAAGCCTCCTTCAAGGAAGGGGAGGGAACTTTTGGAATGTCTGAGTAGGAGCTCTGCAAATCCTCTCCTCAAAATGCAATGGGCAATGATAATAACCCTAATAAATTCAATTTAAAAAAAAAAAAAGGCAATGATAAAATGGGAAACATTGTCCAAAATAGCCATTTTGAGATTCTGGAAATTGACCAAAAGCCTGCAACAAATTGAGAAGCATTTATTCAAGAAAATCTACTAAGCCTTGGTGCCCGGTCGGGCGTGGCTCAGCGGTTGAGCGTCGACCTGGGATCCAAGCGATCAGAGTTTGATTCCCGGTCAGGGCACATGCCTGGGTTGCGGGCTCGATCAGTGACTCATCATTGATGTTTCTGTCTCTCTCTCTCCCTCTCCTTTCCTCTCCCTGAAATCAATAAAGATATATTTTAAAAAAAAAATCTATTAATCCTTGGTAAGAATGGTGGGTATCAATGGTATTTTGCTCCATATCTCCCTGAGCTGCATGGAGTAGTAGCTCTACCAAGGCAGGGCAGGTTGTGAGGAACTGCAGCCCCACTGCCAGAGGGGGCTGACTTGATTGGGAGCAGAAGTTGGACAAAAACGATGCTTGGGGCATTGTCAAAATAATAGCGATCTTGGTGGCATTCAGGGAAGGCCAACATCACAGCTATCCTGAGGTTGTGATACTGGCTGGGCCAAGCAACAGGCAGGTAAGCCCAAAAATTAACAGGAAGATTTGGGGAATATGACAACCATACTGGGCTTTGATAAGCTCCCACATATTCTTGGTGGTCTGAAGGATGCATAGGCATAAAGCTACATGCACGCTCTTGAGAGGCCTGCACTGGTCCTATCAATCTGCTGATCCTCGGCCAAATACGAGGTCTTGCATGTGCAGAAAGTGAAAGCTGGGGCAGATTTGCAAATGGCCTAAACTTTGAATGTGTTCCCCAACCCTCACACAGCTCCATCGACAAAAGGTGGAAGCCTTACTAGATCAATCGCTGACTGACTTCTAAGCTACAGTAACTCAGGGAAACCCCTAGGAAGCCAAGCTTAAAAATAAAACATTTTAAAAATGAGCAGAGACATCAGTGATATTTTGCCAGGTTACATAAAGGGTCAAATGGAAGTTAAGTAATGATTTGTGTAAATGACTTAATCAACTATAAAATGTTCTCTTTTTTTTTACTGAATTTATTGGGGTGACATTGGTTAATAAAATTATATAGGTTTCAAGTGTACAATTCTATAGTACATCACCTGTATATGGTATTGTGTGTTCATCACCCAAAGCCAAGTCTCCTTCCATCACCTTCACCCTCTCCTACCTCCCCCCGCCCCCCTTT